AAAAAAAAAAAAAAAAAAAAAAAAAAAAAAAAAAAAAAAACAAAAAAAACCCACAAAAAACAATCAGTAAAAAGGTTTTTATGATAAATATTTATTGAGCACCAGGTATTGGGCATTGGACAAAACAATAAACAAGACGGGTTTAGTACCTGTCCTCTGTCCCAGTCCTTATGTAGTTTACAGTCTAGCAAGAGATGTATTGAATATATAATCATATGAATAATTTTTTTTCCCAGCTGGCCAATAAGGGGATCCAAACCCTTGACCTTGATGTTATAACAATGAATAATAATTACAATTGTGGTAAGTATTAACAAGGAAGGAAAAGTACAGGAGAATGTTAGGTAATCTTAATTGTGTATGGGAGAAAAGTTCCATCCCAAGGCAACCCTACCCTCAAGGAATTGACTGTCTAGTTAGGGAAATAACATTAATTACTATGGTGTATTTTAGAAAATAATCACAGAGGTATAGCTGATGTTGTACAGAAGCTCAGGCCTGTCAAAGACCAAGTTTAAGTACAAGGAAACCTTGGAGCCACCAAATACATGTTGGTGGGTTTTTACTTTCTAGATCTCTCATACCTGGCCAATGATCTACTGCCACCTCCCTAGTCCAAGCTACTGTCTCCTTTTGCCTTGACCATATGGTCTTCTGGTCTCTCCATTTCCACCCTGCCCATCTGCCCATCCATAAAGCAGCTACAGTGATCTTTTCAAAATATCCCTCCAAAGTAAAAACAACAATAACAAAAACAACAACAAAATATCCCTCCACCGTTCTCATTTTATTCACTCTTACATAAAATCTTTCAATGGACCAGCCTGTGGCTCACTTGGGAGAGAGTAGTGCTGATAACACCAAGGCCACGGGTTCGGATCCCTATATAGGGTTGGGAGAGCTTGGTGCTGACAACACCAAGTCAAGGGTTAAGATCCCCTTATCTGTCAACTTTTGAAAAACAATAACAACAACAAAAAACCTTTCAACAGCAACAACAAAAAACCTTTCAATAACTTCTCTTTTTCTTAAGATAAAGATCAAAATCTTAGCTGGGCTGCAGTGTCTCACCCAGCCACCAGCCTCATCTCATCTCACCTCTGCACTCTGCTCTGTAGCCATCCTCCATTGGGCCTGAGGGCTTTGCAAAAGCCCTACCCCTGCCCCATGAACTAGTTAACGCAAGTGTCACTTCTTCATAGGCACCTTCTCTGACTTCCTAGTCAGGGACAGGCCTCCCTTGAGACAGCAAGTACCTGTTCCTTTGCTTCAAAGCACAGCTCAAAATTACAGTTGCAATTTTCAATAGTTTATACAGTTGTGCAATTGCGTGTCTCCCCATTTGAACACCAACCCCTGTATGAATGAGGCAGTCCCATTTTCACACATCACTGTGTCTGTATACCCAACACTAGCCAGGGCCTTGCACAAAATAGGCATGTAATTTCTTGAACGAATGGAGACCATATATATAATCAGAAAAGAGTGGTGCATGTGTTGAGGTGGGGGCTATATGGCAACTCTCTCCATTCAATCTAGATGGAACAAAATGATGAGAACTTAGATGTTAGATAAAAACAGATTCCTGCTGTTCCTCTTTGGGGATAAGCAAGAAAGAAATGGTTCAAAAACCTTAACTAAATGAGCACAGAGGATTTTTAGGCAGCGAAACTACTCTGTATGATACTATAATGGTGGATACATGTCATTATACATTTGTCCAAACCCACAGAATGCACCACACCAAGAGTGAACTTAATGTAAACTGTGGACTTTGGATGATAACGATGTGTCAATGCAGGTTCATCAATTATAACAAATGTACCACTCATGTGGGGATTTTGGTAATGGGGGAGGCTGTGCATATGTTGGGGCAGGGGCTAGATGGGAATTCTCTGTACTTTCTGCTCAATATTGCTGTGAACCTAAAACTGCTCTAAAAAATAGTCTTTAAAAAATATATAAATAAATAAAAACATCTTAGGTAGAGAATTTTCTGGTCTGTTATCATTAGTTACTTTTTCCAGTGAGAAATTACCTTTTCTGTTAAATTTAATGATTAGCTTTATTTAATGAACTTATGAGCCCTTTCCAGAGCCACCTTTCTGGTCCCTGGTTGACTGTCAGTCTTAGGAGGAGCCCAATGACCTTTCACCAGTCTAATAAACTTTTACCAGTCATTTTTAAAACTCCAATGAAGCAATGAACCATCCCTTTTTCTTACATATTATCTTGGTTGAGAGGGAATTTTTGAATTAGACTGCTTAGAAGCCTCTTCCCTTGAGACAAATTTGAAATTAAGATGCATGTCATCAATTATTGGTCTAACCATCTTTTTTTTCTTGGTGGCTGGCCTGTATGGGGATCCAAAATTTTTTTAAAATATAGAAGTTATCTGCTCTCCAGACTCCTGTTTCTCCCCCTTCACATTTTTATAATGTAAACTCCCTAAAACACTTTGATCAATATTTTCTAAAAACCTTTGATAGTCCCATGTACCTGTAGAATCAGGTTCAGGCTTCTATATAACATACACAATGTGGCCACAGTGCTCTGCCACATGCCTCCAATACCTCATCTCCAGCCCAGGGAGCCTCCTCAGTCTTCCCAGAAGCTCCTGCAGGCTTTCCTTTCCTTAGGCCTGGGGGGCAGTAGACCTCAGCAAGCTTCCACAGCTCATCCTGGCATTAATCATTTTCATATTCCTGGTATCGTATCAGATCTACTTAACAGTTCCTCTGAGTTTGAGGGGCTCATTGTGAGAAGGATAGGAAATATAAACCAAAAAGATGGCCATCCCATGGGGCTTGGCCTCTTGACCTCAGCAGACTCTCCACCATGGGGCCCTCCCTGTACTTTGTGTTTGCTGTGTCCCTCTCTTAGAATTGTCCATAAATTGGGCTGGCCAATTAGCTCAGTTGGTAAGAGTGCCGCCTTGTAACACCAAGGTCAAGGGTTCAGATCCTTGTATCGGCCAGCTGCCAAAAACAAAAGAATTGTCATAAACTGTCATCAAAGGTATACATGTGCACTGCCCCCACTAGCCTGTGAGTGTCTTGGAGGGCAGGGGCCGTAACCGGCAGTGTCTGACACTTAGCTGAATTAAACCCCCTGGGGTACCTGCTCCCTCTATGTGGTTACTGCCCTCTGTCACAGCTAGCCCTCCATAAAGTGACTCGGAGTCATCAACAAGGAATGTTGCTGCTGGTAAAGTCATCTGCAAGATGATTAGACACTGGGCCTCTCATTTTGGATCTGCCACTAACAGACTGTATGATCAATGGAAGTTTTCTCTATTTACCAAGATTCTATAAGGGTTTTGAAAATGTCACAGGACTGCGAACCATTTTGATTACTTCAAAAAAGGAGATTATTTCTGGAAGGAAAATTGCATGTTGACTGCCTCTTGAGCAGGTGTCAGAGCCTGGGATTGGCACTCTTGTCGCTGATATCCCATTTGGTCCTCAGAACTCGCTGAGGTAGGCGTGATGATAGTGTACTTGCTGACAGCCAACCTGAGAAAGTCACTGCAATGGAATCTGCTGCCCATTAAATTCCACAGCATTCGTTCATTCATTCCTTTACAAACATCTATTATTGAGTACTTACTATGTACTATGTGTGTGTCAGGCATCACACTAGGTGCTTGGGATAAAGAGATTCCCTCATGTCATGGGGCTTACAGCCTACTTAGCACTGCAGCTCTATGCTGTCTTTAACAAAGTTACCATAGAAGTGCACCACTGTTAAGAAAAATTATCCAAAACTTGG